TATTTTATTTTTTATTTTATTTATTATTATTTTTATTTTTTTTTTGTATACTCCTGTCCGTCTATGTTTTTCGGAGTGTTATTTATGCCTGTTGATATCCTGATTGACATCATTGGTAATCCCATATTGACAATACAATGTATAGTTTGTATTTCGCACTAAGTAGGTGATGCAGGCGGTAGCTAATATGAACACCATCCACCCTACCCTTTTGTGGCCCTCGCATAGATAATGGACACTTTCTGATATATTGTTGGTGGCCCACATCACAATTCAATCCCTCCATAGCGTGTCCGCACTCCCAACACCATACAGTATGCTGGTATGATACTTTACCACACTTCATCGACGGCGCAAGGTAATTTCCTCCCTTCATTCGGAGCCGTCCACTCCGGCAGCAGTGCCGTTGCGCAATGTTTCATCCCAAAGCTTGCTGGCATCTCGCGGCACAGAGTGCCTTTTATGGCGCAGGTTCCGGTTGAGCGTTGAACATTGAAAGAGCAAAGCAATTAAGCCCTCAATCCTATAAGACTGTATTTCACTTCTTCGAGGCCTGCTTATTGTCTCCCTTCTTATCCTTTCTTGTTCCCTTTAATAACTCCAGATGTCCCGCCTTTTCAGCAAGTAATCGTTCAGTCTTCCCAGTCAAACCGGACGTTAATTTCTAATGAACAGCACATATCAGCTCTGACAGCGACACGAATTCCAAGATGGAAGGCTTCAATCTACCTTGACCATTTTCTGTTGTTTTATGAGTTTCGCTTTCTTAGGTGCGATGGTCTTTGCGCCTCGTTTTGGGCCTAGGGTTGTTGGCCTAGTTAAAGGGTTAGTGGGAGAATAAGGATATATCAAGGCCATGCAATTTAACTCACTTTTTAGCCGGGGCAGGCTTGGACTTCTTGATTGCACCTTGAGCCATGGTTGTCTCGCTCGCTATGGTGAGGTGTGTACTCTTATTGATTGTTCGTCGTGGTCGAAGATTCTCTCGGATCTTTTTTTATCGGACGCCTTGAAATTTCCAGCCAATGAGGAATATATTTATGTGCTTATCTAAGAAGAACTAACTGTATCACGTGAAGCGTTTAAGAAAACCATACTCCTAGACGCGAGCGAACCCTACTTTTATATGCCGATGTGGTCGTGCAACGACTGTCAATACTACCAAACACATCATTTATCATTCACAAACTTATAAGAACAACGTCAGGCTCGAATTATTGATAACATATATCTCTGTAGAAGTGAAACTCCTAGAAAGCGGAGCTAGGTTTGATATTCCAATCGATAGCTGACAATCCTAATCGACCCAGCTAGTTAATTATTTGCCCAGCTATCACCACAAGTATAGAGAGCTCTTCGAGTGTGTCTTCCAGCAGCCCTTCAGCCAGCTGCTGGTCCTCATACCAGTTTGCAAGTTTTCGCGCCATCCAGGAGCCTTATCCCTAAATCACAACGGCGGAATCTCACCCTGATGGTTAATCGCGACCTCAGTTGAGACCAAGGCTTATTATTAAGCTGGCGCTTGAAACGCCCAAAGTGTTAGTCACGTGTACTCTCATAGTGAGCCGCCATTGGGCAAAATGTGTTTCTATTTTAAGGGTTGGAAAGGCACACTCCCATTCAACAGAGTAAGGGGTCTAGGTCTCCTATCGTTAGTGCATAGTACGGCTACTCCGTACTTGTGAAGGTGTATTTCCCGCAGAGGTACACTATACCGGCTCGGGAGATAAAAGCCCACCCGCGGCAGGCTATGCTAGATCCGTATGATGGACAGGGAAGAAGGACCTCGCCTCCTCCATAGAGCGAGGCTGTATTAAGCGTTGGTCTAGAGCCTCCTTTCCGGCCTTGCTTGCTGCCTGGTGCGCGGGTGGCTTTTAGTGGTGTTGTCCTTTTGAAATTTTCGGCATTTACCGTACATCCTTGGATGGGAAGCTCTCTTCTACTACTTCGAAATTAATTACTCCTTTACTCTCTTCCATCCCAGTCACGGCGAAACTGGAGGGCTGTGGATGACTCCCGTTCAGGTGTGACTTTTTTTAGCCGGTTGGAAAAGCAGACCCTGGACGAAAGGGGCCAAGGAAGAGATGTCGACTGCATGGCAACGAGTGTTGCGAGCGCTCGTTGTAGCCTCCGTTATCAGCATCATACTCATCTACTCGGCTCGACAGTTTGGCCCTGCGCCTGCCCACACGCCAATACGTGATCGCCCAGATGATCAGCATAAACCCTTCCAGCCGCCAGCGCCTGAGCCTGATCAAGAGCCTCCATCACTGATCTCGCACCCACCACCGGTCGTACCAACGCTGGCATCATCCTCGACAGGTACACCGGGGACAAAACCTCCCAGCACGTCATCAGGTACGCCAACAACTTCTGCAGCAATAACGACACCGTCGTCACACTCTGGAAATGCCAACGAAACAATCCCTGGGATTCCTAGCAAGATATGGCAAACAGCCAAACATGCGAACCTCAGCAGTGAGTATGCCGACATGAGCAATACATGGATAGTGAAGAACCCTACTTTCCGCCATGAGTTGCTCACCGATGAGTCAAGTGATGACTATGTGCGTAGCCGTTACCCTGGCTCAGACATCGTAGCTCTTTATACCAGTCTCAAAATTCCCATCCTCCGAGCCGATATGCTACGTTATCTGATCTTGTTGGCTGAAGGTGGCATCTGGGCTGATCTGGATACTACATGTGAGCAGCCGGTAAGCAACTGGCTGCCAAGTGAGATATCCAGTTCGAACAGCATCATCAAGGCCGGCCTAGTTGTTGGGCTCGAACCTGATGCCGACCATGGCGGTAAAAAGATCCTCACCAATGCGGTGTTGGCAGCACAGCCCGGTTCCAAGCATATCAAGGCTGTTGTGGATGATGTCGTGCATCAACTCCTTGATATTGCAAAGCAAAAGGGAGTCGGCCCCGAAGGAATCACACTTGAGATGATCAGTGACGTTGTCGAGGTGACAGGGAGGAAGAAGATGACCGCAAAGATCATCGAGTCACTTTCCAAGACGCTGAACAAGGAGATCAAGGATGGTGATCTGGTTAAGAACGGCAGCAACGAGCCGCAGTGTCTTGACGACATAATAATACTTCCCGTCCCCGCATTCGCCTCGTATAACAACCCAACGCCCCAGGGCCGAGTGCTTGTGACGCACCACCACGCAGGCACATGGAAGAGCGCTGCCGAAGATGCCAAGAAGAACCGCGAGAAGCAGCTTCAGGAGGAGGCAGACAAGCTGAAGAAGGCAGCCGACGAAGCAGAGAGGAAGCAAAAGGAGGAAGCTGAGGAACAAAAGAAAAAGGAAGACGCTATGAAGAAGTCAAAGGAGGATGGAGAGAAACAGCGTAAGGAGCAGGAGGCTAAGGAAGAAGCCCAGAGAAAGGCTAACGACAAGCAGTAACTAGCTGAAGTAGTGCTGCGGACATCACAGCCAATAAGATATTCGGCCAGCGCTGTACATAATGGTACTAGAATCTAACTACTTCCCTTACGACCGCGTTCCCCTGCCTCTCCTATGATTTCTTGTAGGACTTGGGGGTACGGAGTAGTGTCAGAGCTAAACCTTAGGGCTCAGAACGAATTAAGGGACTGAAGTTATTGCGAGAAAAGAAGTCGAGGACACGAGTCTGCTCGTCACGTATACTCCCTTCTCTCCTGATTAAGAATCCAGAGGAGCGAGAACCCCCCTGAAAACTAGCTGAGCATATTTGATATCCACACGCAGGGATGAGCATAAACCAGGCATAAATCATCCCCTTCGGTATGACGGAGCGCTTGCATCGAGACCACTACTGCCCCATTATTGTCCAGTCCCTGTACCACCACGAATAATGGAACCCAGCACATCTGCAGGTTTCACTGTTGTCTTTACCACCACTACCACTGCCCCTGCCAGTGCTCAGCGTATAAATACATTTTTCTACTCTGAACACACTACTCCGTAATTATCCCATCCATCACCAGCCGCGGTTCAGTGTTATGGCTTTTCGCATCTTATCAGTTCATCTTATCTTTCTCACATGACTGCTGACTCATCAGCCTGAAACATCCGCAAAAGTAAACAAACTTCCTTAAGCAGAAAAAAGAAAAAACGACATCCAGAATGTGAGCAAAAAGCGACGGCGAAGGAAGAAGAAACAAAAAGTGAAGGGAGCAAAACAAATAGATCCATCCAATTTAAGGACTAGTCTCGCAGCAGAACGTCTGCCATGACTTGACTCTCATTTCCCTCTTTATTCTTCCTCTCAACCCTTTCTCCAGAAGGTTGCCGTTTCGCCCCCCCTTTTTTTTCGCGTCTCCCTCGGCATCTTGCGTGCTGCTGCTTGGTTTCCATCTGACAGTTGCGGCTCCGGGCCAATCGGGCGACTTGGCTGTATATGGGTAGTGGTACCAGCCGGGGGGTGATGGAGTCTGGCCGGACTTGCTGCCTATATTATTCATAACCACTGCCAAAAGATGGACAGACACCCAGAGATAGGGGGCTCTTCGTCGAGGTCGAGGTACTTTCCTTCCTTCCCCCGTCAACCAGCAAGAATAGCGAGAATAACGAGTATAACAACAGTATCAGCCCATTCCGCAGCAGATCGCCGACCCTGAGTCCCTCTCCCCCGTTCAACACCCAAAACCGTCGGCTGCAGCTTCGTAACGCTCGGTTTAGGGGTGCGTTGCTTGCCTCGGCTTCTGCATCTACCTCAACGCCTGCTACTGCATCTTCGTCCAGACCACTGAGCCCTCCACAATCCCAGGCCGAGACATGGAGGAGTACATTGGACGGCATTGAAGACGACAACAAAGAAAACGACTTCGCCTACGAGGGATTTCATACAACAACTGCCAGTAGCTTTTCCAGGGGCCCGCACAGCAGACGATCGAGTATATTGAGAGAATTGGGGAACTCGACTCAGCGAAGACGATCTCAGCATACCTCCCGTGTACCCGTGACATCCATATTTCAGTCGCAGCCAGACTCGCCTCCATGGTCTGCATCATTTGGCCGGCCCAAAGTTAGCGTTGAGGACCAGGACCAGGCTCAGGCTCAGGACACTCAAACCCACGAACTAGAGCTGGATCTCGACTGGGAAGAGAAGATGCATCTGCATTCCACGAGGAAAGCGTCGATATCGTCGCAGAAAAGTAATCCTTTCACAAGCCTTGACCGAATAAAAAGACCAAAAGAGCGGAATCGAGACGGCCGTCGTGATGCATCTCAATACATCGAGCATCTTGAGAACCAGCTTGCGGCCACGCTCCAGTATGCTGAGTTGGCCGATGCAAAGACACATGCTGCTCGATACAAGGCATTAAAGACCGAGTACAGGATCCTAAGGCAGGAACTTACTGAATGGGAGGAGAAGTTTGAAGCTCGAGTACAGGACGAAGAGGCGGTGGTCGCAGAACGAGAAGCTCAATTGAAGATACGCATACGAGTACTGGAACGTGAAGTAGAAGTCAAAGACAACAAGATCAGAGAGCTCGAATGGGAGGTTGAGAAAGAAGCACAGAACCGACGGACGCTAGAAGCTGTTACTGCTACGAACCGCAGTCTGGAGCGCCGAGTTGATGTGCTGACTGAATTGCTTGCTCAGTCGCCTGGCAGAGTAGAACTGCCCGCTCCCCCACCAGCTTCAGCAGTAGACGGTGCTTCCTCGATACACGGCGGTGATGGTAGTATGTGCCGTACACCTAGGCCCAAGTCGATGTTCACCAAGATACCCTTGTCACCGGTTCGACAGCCTCTTTTCCATCCCACCAGCGAGCCGGACGCTTCGTTTTCTGACCCATGCAAAAGGGGTTCGGGAGATGAAGATTCTCGTGTCTTTGAGCTAGCATCTGTTGACTCGGGCTTCGATTCCTGTCCGTCACATTCCCAACGAACCTCCCTTCTATCAAGCCAGTCTGGCCCTGGGTCAGCAACATCGCTCCCGTTATCACCAGAACTCCAATTACAGGGGAAACTCCAGTATCGAAAGAGAAAGATGCGCCGTTTCCCTTCTGGTTGCTGTACGTTGAAACCGCTTGTCTTACCAACTGCATCCGCCGCCCTTTCGCCGTACGCTCCACCTGTAAACCCATCGGCGTCGCCTGGCTCTATACAACAGCAACGTCTGGCACGGTATTTCTCGACGCTACGATATTCAAAGGCTGGATCAGGTTATGGCGAGTCGTTATATGATGACGAGACAGATGGAGACGATGCTGACACTGATGCAGCGAGGACAGATGCACTTGACTCGCTGGAGGGTAATGTAACGCATTATCAGTCCTTTGAAGAAGCAATGGCTGGTCACGACTTATCATTTGACGACACGGAAGAGTTTGGATATAGTCCGTTTGCCGCAAGTAAAAGCCGCTCGCCAGGAAGCGAAGCAATAAGCTATGAAGGAGGAGGTACAGTCAGACGACGCCGCAACCGCAGTCGCCAGATATCGACTCTACGCATCGGTATGAGTCCCATTAACCGCATAATTTCAGCCAGGCAGCACCATGCTTCTCTATCGTGGCTTGAAAAGTTACACCTATACGTCCCACAGCTACTATCTAACGCACGAACACTGGCCTGCCGCATCTTGTCCAACGCATGGCATTCCAACTGGCGCCGTCTAGGTGGTATATCCTGGTGGTTCCTCGGTCTGTTACTTGGTACACATACACGGAACCAATGGGTCAGGTATTCTATGGTTCGAAGTGCAAGGTGTCTGGGACGCAGCGAGGAAGTCCGGACGGAGGAGGATCAGGAACCATCAACCCCCGTCAGTGTCAACCATCGACCGGGTACTGCAACATCACTTCCTTCCGGGTATACGCCGGCCATGCAGGAATGGCTCAAGTTCTCTGTCACTCTCGTGTTGGCGATAGGTCTTGCTATTCGTGACGGGCCAAGCACACTAACATGTGCTTGTCCACCACTAGAAAGTGATATCAGATCTAACCCCGACGCCGACACAATGACAGAATCCGAGGTCTGTCAATCATCACCCAAATACCAACCTATACGCACCAGCCTCTCAGTTCTCAGCCCAAGTGCTCTCCCCAGAGATGATGAAGCATTTGACAACGGCCTTGACTGACATTCGTTCATCCGCAACAACACCCTAATGATTGATGACGCTCCCTTCCCATTTCCTTAATTTTTTCCCCTACTTATTTTTCCCTACCTCTACCCTCTTTTGTATAACGCACTATCGCAAACCATTGACCATCTGTGATGTGTCTCCATGCTTTGTAAAAGGGGAGACCAACCGGATTCGTGTAAATGGGCGATAGATTACAATTAGACTAGCTCGGTCCTGGATAAAGTAAATAATAATAGATTCATTCTTTTTTACACTGAGTAGTGGCCAGGACAGCCACATACCACTAAATCGGGAGAGTGGGCTCGCTGGAAGTCTTCGCGCTGAAAGCTGAAACACGATATTCACATAGCATCAGTCATATTCTGGGGGTGGTGGTGGTCATTATCAAACAGGAAGGAAAACAGGTAGAGGAGTCCCGTCAAGCAATGCTGCAACGACAAGGAGGGTGATACATGTGTTTGTGTTTAGCAGCATATATCACAGCAGCACTCGCACGATTCTCCACAGAGCCAGCAGCAGCAGAGCGTCGCGAGACTTCGGGGGGTCATAAACGTCAGTTTCTTTCTTGCATTTCTTGATAGTTATAGCTGCTGATCCCGCCCTAGGATATGAGTGCACGTACCAGGTGTAGAGACATCCCCTATCCTTCTTCTCCTCCACGACAACTGGCGGCGGTGCCTGCTGGTATTGCATCTATGAGTTATATCGAAGTCAGCGCTTTCCAACCCCACCAACTTAAGTTGCACGGCGACGGGATAACGACAGCGTTATACGCACAGGAGGGGGACCGCCCTGTGGGGGGCCCTGGGGAGGATAGCCGCCATTGTAGCTGTGATCGGTCAGTCCGTCAGTTGCCATCGCCCAAGGAATGGAAATGAGATGCTGTCATATTTTCTTGGCCATGCGATGTACATGCATAACGCCGTGGCCGATACGAAGAGGCGAGGGCACCGTACCTCTGCTGTGGCTGGTTCTGATAGTAGCCGGCGCTGGACATCTTTGCTGGCCGTTCGACGAAAGTACCGAGTAACAACTATTCAAGTGGATTTATTGGCGAGGTTTCCGTGGCGGGCTGGCGAGATCGAGAGCGAGAGAGGGCGAGAGAGGGCGAGGGAGAGAGACGGCTAGACAGCAGTGTGCGCCCCGGGGGCCCTTGGCTTTAAATAGCGAGCAGACTGAGGCTGGAGTGTCCTGCTCAGCTCACCTTCTCCCCAGCACAGACTGCGGGCTAGCTATGTCGGACAGAGCCAGCCCCTACGCCACAGAGTGACTCTGCCAATCAGCACGGCGTCCAACGGCGCGAGCTGACGTGGCTGGTAGATTTAATCACTAGCAGCCCTGCAGGTGTAGGCGCTGTCACAAGGATGGTAAAGGCCGGAGTCGCTCGTCTGCAATATAAGACACTTCCAGCATATCAAGAATATACTCTACACTGCAGCGAGAGTTTGGACGACGGAACGTTAAACTACCAAGCTTCTGATAGGGCCGACCCGGGGGAATCCCCAGGGACGTACCCAGGCACGCACGGAGGAGTTACATATGTCAACCAGGAGGTAGTTCAGCCAGATGCGATTTTGTTTCCCTTTGCCGCCAGGGGAGACTGTGGCTTCTGCTGCTGCTTGAGCTGAGGCTCCTGCAGCCAAGCCCAAATCGACAACAAGAGCTGCTCCATAGAGGGTATCGCTATTGGCCCTGCGACGAACAGGGACCGGTAGTCACCTTCATACTTCGTTCCTCAGCCCTATCCTAGCACTTCAATCACCGAACCACCAGATAATTGGCCTCCTGTCAGTGGGAGCTGCCCAAGCGACCACCTTTGTCTTTGTAATTTAGCAGCATGTCTATGTATGCATGGGTAACTAATGCGGCTTCTCCTGGCCCCAAAGGACTCGTATCCTCGGTAAATCCTTCAGAGGCGCCTCTGATCCGTACCACAACTCCGCACGATGGTTCCCGGATACTAGGAGTGATGCGTGCCCAGGGAATTTCAAGCGGTTGTTTTTGGAGTTGTGGTTCTCAAGCGGTGGCATTTCTTACAGGTAACCCCGATCCCCGGGATGGTGCGATGGATTGGATCTAATCTGTCATGAAAAATACTATAGATAACGCCGTCGTCATCTTTGACCAGAGGGTGATAGTCGTACTCCCATCTGCGGTATAAACGGCCGCTCGTTGGAGTACCATGTCTATTCCATGATTGAAATTTGGACAAGGTCTTTATTGGCTAAACTGCATCGAATACAGGTGAGGTACTGTATTTCTCATGTGAAACATATAAAATCCATGAATATAACTAGATCTAGATCGTTGATGTCGAAGGATTCCAGAGATATCATGCCTGAGGAATTCAATAACCGAGAAGGTTCAATTTATCTAGGTTGAATCAGATCTACCAACATCTATTAAATGACATTATAAATCAACTGATATATCCCAAAGTCATATATACCAACGTCCAATCTATCAGAGGAAAAAAAGGAAAGTAAGGTCTAAGCGGTTCAACAACACAGTCATAGCACATCCAATCAATAAGGATCCCATTCCAGTCGTTGCATTAACAGGAAGGATTCAACGGGCACTCCTCGCCAGGCCTTTTTGCCGTCAACTTCCTTGAAAAACTCCGGTTCAAAGCTTACCTTTGCCCAAGAGCGTATGAGGTGCCTCCAATAGCAAACTTCCGCAGCGGGTGTAAGGTACTGTTCTCGAAACGTTCTGATATTATTCCGTGCAATCCGCTTTGCGTCCTGCTCGTGCTCCTCAAGCCACTCGATCTTCTCGCGTAGGTCCGACCAGTCCCTCCGCACCTCTACATAGTTCTGGTCTGGGCCCGAGCTCTTCATGAGAGGAGACTGGTGCTGGATCCACTCGAGACTGTGAGAAATGACGACCGAGTTGCAGCTCTGGAGATACTTCAGGCGCCCGGAGTAGCTGTTCCCTTCGGTCTGAGCGAGGTACTTGAACCGGCAGTGTTCGGGCATTGATTTCAAATCGTTCTGCATACTGTCGTTATCACGCCATGTTATCGGCTTGACGTCCGCCCATGGCTGGCCCCTGGTGACTTGAATAAGCTTCTCGCGGACCTCCAGGTCCATGGTGGCGCCTCTCCAGAAAAGCTGGGGGATTTTCTTCGACCAGGCCCAGGTGTGTTCTTCCCGTTCGGCCCCCATTTGAACTTCTTGCATGGTTCCAACTTTTGTCTCGGGCCAGGACCAGTATCCGAAATCAGGCATAAGCCATAGGTTTGTATCCTGTTCGCGCCGGGCGTAACCCCACTGCGCAACTGGATCAACTTTATCGTCGGTGTTGAAGACGAATTCTATATTTGGGAGCGGGTCGGGAGAGGAGACAATTGCTCGGTGTAGGGCGTGCAGCGTCGCAATTTCCCGGGAGTATATAGTTCCATTCACAGCAATAACATAGAGCTTAAGCAATGGCACTGTTAGCCCCAATTCACAGGATTACTATATTTTCTTTATTGACAAAAAAGACACTTTCTTACTTGTTGGTCGTAAATCATCGCACGGATGTATCCGTTTTTGGGTATGACGGAATCGATTTCTGCAAGGCTTATAGGGCGCTGCGCCCGCTCTTGTTTCGCGCGATCAATCTCCGCGAAGAGGCCTGGGAAAGCCGACTGACATTGCTCAGCGCCGAGCACAAGAGTGTTGGCATCCCGCTTGTGATTCCATTGGTACCCAGGGTCTGCTGCATGATACTGGCAGCTGGCAGGGGCGGTAATTGGACTGGGATAGCCGCGCAGTTGGCACCAAAGTAACACCAGCGCTAAAAGGAGGCTGGCGGCGACGGTGCGCCTGCGGTACTTTCGGGTTGCAGATGTCGGATGCGGATGAGTCTGCGCGTCCATTTTGGGTGGCTATGTGACGGAAGACGGCGCCATGAGTGAGAAGAACGAACCCCTGACTGCATCGCAAAGATAATCGACGGGAAAATTCTTGTAAAGGGGCCTAGGTAGTATCATTTTTCCCCATGGGATCCATGGACCGCCCGCGCTTAAATCATGTGACCATCGTGGCGCCTTTTGAGTTTTTGACGCAAGCAAAGTGTGGCGAAATTTCCTTGGCAGAGCTTGATTTTTTTGTCCCGTCCAGGGTTTTGGCGGTGCGATTTTTGATACGTCGCGGCGTTGCAAGTGGTTTTGTCCTCACTTGTGACTGGTGGTGGGAAACCAAGTTGGTGTGGTAGCTTAGGTTTCAACGAACTCACTTCGTATCCCTAAGGAAAGCGTGGTGAAGCCTCGAGATTTCAGCGGATGGCTTTTGCGCCTGAAGCGCAGAGAAAAAAAATAGGGTTGATGCTGGATAGAAAGGGGATAGCAGCTGGATGGAATGCCCATAAACAGCCATCGTTTGTGATGATTGTTGGTTGAACAGGTAGCTTGATGAGGATAGTCGAGGGAGTTCCGACTCTTTGGACGGCTCTCTTTTATGGAAGGGCGCATGAAGTGTCGCACTAGCCGACGGGCCTCCAACCGGCAGCCGGTCCGATAATTTAACGATATCAGGGGTACCCTTCGAGAATCACACAACAAACTGTCCAGAACGCCAGACGGGGGACAGCCGACAGACCAAAAAATCTCTTTTTTCGCGCTATGTTTTATCTCTGGTCGGGTTCCCTATTTATGCACGCACATGGTATCATCGCACAGCAGAAGCCACTGTCTCAAGGGCATGGGATCAGTCATCAGTCGACATTATTTATTATTAGACCCGTTGGTCGCAGAATCACAGCCACCTCATCTCATCTCACCCTGCAGGCGATGAAGCGGCGCTAAACCAAAGACGACGGAACAGACATCAGTAGCCGAACCCTGACTAAACCAGCTTTTTCGTAGTGTAGTGTGTCGGCAGGCCCGACTACTGAAATTGTCATCTACATTCTCATCTCCGTCCCAAGGCCGCCCGGTAGCCGTGCGCCGGTTTAGCTATTCCCAGCCAAGCGTCGAGTGGATGTCAAAGAGAAGCAACAACAGGCGGGCGCTTCATGAGCTGGCGGGCGGATACGGGGTAAGCTTGTACTGTAAGTACCTAGGTACTTAAGTATAAGGTACGGAGTACCGTAGGTGCAAGGGGGTGATCCCAGGCACACCAGTGCAGAACCGAAATAAAGCCAAGTCGCGCTAACTACTAACGTACCGTCTAAGCCGTTTCAGCCTGTGAGCTTCATTTACCTGGCGTCGTTCAGCGACAAACGGCGTATGAGCACAAGGGGACATATTTACAAACGGGGGGTTAAAGACAAACGCTTACACACAGTCTTACGGCGTAAGTCAATCAGCAAGTAAGGAGGAGGAGAATATACGAGCAACAAAGGAATGAAACGATAGTTGTCTATCCCGATCAACGTGCTTCTCCATACCGTAAGTATTTCCCGCTCGAGTCGACCCGCCCGCGGCCGCAGCAGGACAAGGAGCATAACCTAAGTCGGGTGGTAAGTAAGTACATGTAAGTACATGCTTATGGAGACAGCCTTGCGCTGACAAGCTGAATGGCGGGGGAAGATCCGACAGTTTTAGTGTGTGTGGGTTAGGAAAGGGAGAGGACGAGGGTGTTTTAAGATCGGCACGATCGACAGGAGCTAGGGCAGCGGTTGTTGGATGACGAAATGAACATCTCCCTGATGGAGAATGGAGTTACATATACTTATACAGCGAGGAAAAAAGGGGGCTTGGGGATGGCTTGAGGGGGCTGCGGTTAAGGTTATGTCAGCGATAAGCTTAATTCAAGAGAATGTGTATCGTGGGTTGTGCGACGGTGGCGTTGAAAAGGGCAGGGTGTCAGTATGTATGTATGTAAGTGTGTGTGTGTATGTGTGATGTACGGCGCAGGATGAAGCAAGGCCAGGCAGGAAGCCGTTGGATGCGATGAAACGGAGAGGGAGATTAGCCCTATAGCCGACACGGTATCTGCAGGGAACCTGACGGGGAAGCGAGAAGCAAGGACAATTGAAGTGGGTAAGCGGTATAAAGTGGTAGTTAAGTATTAGTATTTACATACATACGGGCGAGGAAGACATGAACTAGGAAAAGGGACAAGGAAAGCAGACTTTTGTGCAGTCCATCATGAGAAGCGGAAGAGGTATGAAAGAAAAAGTCGATGAAGGACAGTCAAGCTGTTCTAGATACGGAGTAGAAAAAAAAAAAAGGCGCGCTTCTATGAGCAGCGTAGAAGAAGAAGTAAGAGTAATAGTTAGATGAAGAGAAATTGTGAGAGAAGTAGTAGTGGTAATAGTAGTAGGAGAGATATCATCGCACGGTTCATGAGGCTGATCTTGGTATGTCTAATACATATTTTATCGAAGAGAGAAAAGAAAAGGAGCAATTCTCTTTACATGGCAAAAGCAGCGGCGACAACGAGGAGAGCGGCACCGAAGCCAGCGCCGACGCGGCCGGCACCGTTGTTGAATGGTGGAGGGGTGTTGGTCGAGGCTGGTGGTGGCACGGGAGCACCGGAGCCAGATGGAGCTGGAGCTGGGCCAGGGTTGCCGCCGGTTGGGTGAGGAGTGCCGGGGACTGGCGCGCTGCCAGTTGGCTGGGGCACGCCGGGGACAGTGGAAGTGGTAGCAGATGGCGGGCAGATGGAGGTGGTGAGAGTGATGACGCCGCCGGAGGGGACGGGAGTGCTGGAGGAAGCCTCGACGATGTGGGTGACTGGCTTGGAGGGCTGGGGAGTCCAGGTAGGCTTCTCGGCTGGCGTGGTGGACTTTGGTGGCTGTGGCTTGGGGCTGTGGTTCTCGATGCCGAAGTTGGTGCTGTACTGGTACTGGCCGGTGCCCTCGACGACGATCACGAGGCCGTAGGAGTCGTCACCGGTGAGGTCAGAACTAGGAGTCCAAGAGAGGCTGCCGGTGTTCGGGATGTTCTCAGCAAGAGTTTGAACTGGGTTGCAGTTCTTGGGGCAGCCGTGGAGGAGCATGATGGAGACATGGCTCTCGGTGGTTGCCTGCCAGGTGATGGCGTAGGGCTTGTCGACAGGGACCTTCTCGTGGAGGCCTGGGGTGCCGATGGGGTTGCCAGAGGGAGGCAGGGAGTAGTTTGGAGGAGTGACGGCAGAGACGGCGGCCGCGAGGGCAGCAACGACGAGAGTGACCTTCATCTTGTCTTGTTTTTTTTGGTGGTGATGTTGTAGTTGTAGTTGTTGTTGTTGTTGGTATCAAGAGTATAGATCTGGAGAGACCCGGGTATAGGAAGGATTAAGGGTATTTTTATTTAGTTATTAGAGCGTAGCGAGGCCAGGACCTGAGCGAGCGAATGAGTCTAAAGAGCGACTGAGTTGGCTGACTTGAAGAAGAGAAAGAGAAGAGAGAGAGAGAGAAAAGAGAGAGAAGAGAGAGAAGGAGGAGGAGGAGAGAAAAAGCGAGCGAGAGAGCGAGGACGCCGGCGCAGTTTTTATAAAGTCGAAGCAGAAAGAGGCTGAGGGAGGGGAGGGTGTCAAAAGTGTTGGTGCGGCCTTACTTTCCGCGTTCGCGAGGCTGTCCAGTGACGGCCGCTTCGGGCTTAGTGCGCGTTAAATGAGATGCCCCACCAGGACAGCCAATCAGAGGGGGAGGAAGAGTCCTGGTCCCTGGCATAAAATGGGGCTACCTTAGCAGGAAGGGACCCTCCTTGCATAAACTTTGATGAGGTTCGCTCTTTCCTTCTTTTTCCTTGTTTGTGACGAGACGATACGTAAATAACAGACAGAAGATTACAGAGTAGATTACAGAGTAGATTACAGACAGTAGATCACAGAGAGTAGATAGAAGATAGAAGATAGGAGAAGATGATAGTAAAGAGAAGACGAAGAAGACGGAGAGAGCAAAGAAGATAGACAGATAGATAGTATGTGTGTGCGAGGGAGAGAGAGTCGCTTGGTCGCTGGTCCGATTGGGCTGTGGGCTTCCTTCGCGCCCAGCAGCCGGTTGGTTCCCAGGCCTTGTGCCAGCTGGAGACGCTAAGATGGGCAGCAGCAGCACCAGCAGCTAGACCAGGCCGGGATGGATAATAATAGAGAAACAAGACGAGGAGGGAGGATGCGACTCCATCGTCGCATGGAAGGGTCGTATCATGCGATTATTACCTGGGATTGGGGGGGATGGGGATGGGGACATGCACTGGCCGGAGGCGACGAGACGGAGGGTTTGGGCATCTCGATCAGCCGCAAGAAGCATGTCTCACTGGAGGATGCGATGAGATACGAGAGCGAGATGCATTTACTTCTATATATCACCAATAATGGAGTTCTTTCTCCCATACTTTACTACTTGGAAGTCCGTCGGCAGTGGTATAGCGATGAACCGGCAGGGATGAAGGGCGCCAACGGTGAGCCAGGCAAGCTCCGATGCACGAAAGGGTTACATGGCAGCTTGGGCTCGCATGGATGGAAAGGTCATGCGAACACTTCTTGTTATTTTATTACTCTTACTTATTATTATTATTACTCCTAGTTACTGGACTGCCTGGCTTATCGACGACGGTGGATGCAAAGCTAACCGCCGGCTTGGGGTTGGATGGACGGCTGTTAGGGGGGAGAGGTTGGTGACTGCTCTCAGGGGGATAATCTCTCGTTTACTCTCCGTCCTGCCTCTCCTATCAAGTCTCTCAGGTCGCCCGTCTGGCGATGCGAACAGGCTCTCCAAGACTCCTTCGATGAGGCTTTAATCTTATCCTGTCCAGTCGAACAGCCAGCCCGGCCAGGGACAGGCACGTTTTGCTTCTTTTCTTTTTTCTCCTTCTTCCTTCTTCTTCTTCCTTTTCTCTCGTTTCTTCCACTGTGCCTCTTTTTTTTGCTTTTCTTTCATGCTGCTGGCCATGTCTATATGTGTGTGTCCGTATACCCCCAGACTGGACAGGAACATGGCTTCAAGGACTCCAGGTAGCGACTCCAGGGGGCCCCCATGGCTCTATAGCTCCAATGGCTCATGGTTCAACACCCATGGCCCATGATGTGCCCGCCGTCCTCCGAGCGGAAGATGTAGGAAGCATATACTTACTTACTCCGTACTTCCTTGCAGTAAGTATATCACTCTACCAAGGAGGAAAAAAGAAGAAGGAAAAAGAAAAAAAGAAAAGAAAAGCGAGTCCCATGCTTCTGAGGCTCTTTCGAGATGCTGTCGAGATGATGATGTCTTGGTCGTCGTCGTCGTCGTCGGCGTCGGTGCTTAGGGGGAAAAGGGGGGGGCGGTCCTGGACAGGGGAGAGAAGATGCTTCGCCCCAATCAGACGCCGACAAGACATCGCATCGGCCATGTGCATTGATGATTATGATTATGATGCTGATAATAATGATGGTGATGGCGATGGCGATGATGAGCTAGGGGGCGCAGGACGTTATCCTTACTATCATTCGCTTCATGCATGCACGTTGACTCCGGCCATAGAAGACGCTGCTATTGCTTGCTGCTGGAGAAAGACGGAGGAGAACTAGGAGGAGAAGGAGAAGGACGGATGCGACGGCCGGCAAAAGGAGGCTGCAAAGATGCCTTGCATGCACACCGGCCGTTGCTCTCTCTGCTCTCTCTGCTCTTCCTTTTGCTTTCTTTTCCTCGTCTTGCTGTTGTCTCCGTGTGTCTTTTTTTTTTTCTCCGAAGTTCCCACTTGGGCTGGTTTAGTTATTTTTGGACACGGACGGATAACTGTCGGATAACTACTAAATAATCATAGGTAGGTAGTGTTGACGGATGGAACTGACAGATTAGTTGGTTAGGGGGAGTTAGTAGCAGTGACCTGGCCAGGCAGGGCAGACGGCGTCGACGGGCGACGGCAGCGCTGGTTCTCGACGGCGAACGATGGCCATGCTTCGGCCAACTAGAGAGTCCAAAGATAGAGTGATGGCTGATACATGTCGACAGATGAAACGCATGGCTTCGACAGTATACATACATAGTTCACGTCTGAGGAGCTGCCGTGTCATATTGTTATTATTTGTTATTTGTTATTCATATTTTTTTATCAGTTATCATTTGTGAGCGAGACGGCCAGAGACACCCCCAGGCGACTTGACCTGCCGTATTTATATTCCACCCTCTGCTCTGCTCTGCTCGGCTCGTATACTTGACTGCAAACGCTGCTAGTGACTAACCGGCCAGTAGGTGAGCTCGACTGGCGACGTTTCAGAAGGGCGTGTCTCGACTCGGTTCGAACTTAGGGTTGCCAGACGAAGCCACAACACGAGCAAGCAGCTCAGGGGGTGACCAGGACAGACAGCCAGACAACAGATACCCCAGGATGGCCTCGTATATACAGGCTCCGCTCCAGAGCTTTTATATCTCGAGTCACCGTCACCCGTCGTCTGGTATGACAAGCTGGACGCAGAGCAACCGACAAGATGAAGCTGCTCTACCAGACTCACTCGCCCTACGCCCGCAAAGTGCTGGTCTTCGCCCACGAAGCCGGCCTCGCAGCAGACATCCAGGTGGTCCATCAGGAAACAAGCCCCATGCGGGCCAACGCTGAAGTCTACGCCCAGAATCCCCTTGGAAAAGTGCCAGTTCTGCTTCGTGGAGAGGCAGACCAAGCAGACCAAGCAGACCAAGCAGATCCAAGCCCAGAGGCAACTTCTGCCCTGTTCGACTCCAATGTCATCTGCGAGTACCTTGATACCCGCCACCAGGGACGCCCTCTGATCCCTCGCGAGGGTGAGGCCAGGTGGCAGGCCCTGCGCATCCAGGCCGTGGCCAGCGGTCTAGCGGATGTCGGCATTGCCGTCCGCTGGGAGACGACCAGACGGCCCGAGGAGCTGCGGTACCCAGAGCTGAGCGCCAACCTGGCCCGCAAGCTGGTCGAGAGCTTCGACTGGCTGGAGCGGGAGCTGGACGACGACGACGACAACAACAACAACAACGGTGCAGTAGTGCATGTTGGCCATATTGCTCTGGCGACGGCGCTGAGCTGGCTGCTGTTTCGCGGCGTCGGGGAGGACTTTCGACAGGGCAGGCCGCGCCTGGCTGCCTGGTTCGAGCGGTTTGAGAGCAGGCCGTCGATGAAGGCGACGCCGTTGTCTGGAGAGACGCACGACTGAACGGGGGCCTCCATCCATGCAGGGTACCGTACCTGTTCTATTCTGATAACCTGTGCCTGTATATCCATCCTCACTCTGCTGGCAACTGGGAACAACAGGCAGCCGGTTTGAAATACTGGTATCCCGTAGCCAACTGCCCTGCATTTATTCGTACGGGCCATCTCCCGCAAGTCGAGTTTGAAATAACAGCCAGTCAGCCATTAGATAGTTATGTGTAACTCGCAATGAATATAGTGCAAGGTCAACAACAGATAGTATATCCATAGTCATGATGCTCTCTGCTCTGTACGCTCTGTACGCTCTGTACGGAGTAGAGATAGATGGACGGCCGCCTGCAGGCCTAAGTTAGGCCGATGGGCCTTGCATCGCTTAACTACCTAGTCGCTTAGCAGCATCAGGCCACATCACCACCATGCCTTTGAAGCTGTAGAAAAGAGATATCTAGCCTTCGCTTTTTTAACATCGTTGGAGACATCAAGCCCAGCAGCAGGAGACTCGACCTGCTGCTTGGAAATTCTTTCACTGAAGGAGGGCGAAGAGAATAATGCTCGTATAGCCCGGGGATCCTCCAAATCTCCACCGAGTCCGGCGCAATAATAGTTAACGAGCACACAGGATTTCCGACCTTCTTCTGCAGGGGAAAAATCTTCTTCTGAGAACCAAAAAAAAAAAAAAATAATGATAATTCATCTCGCAATCCGCCAGGTTTATGCCTTGATTGTTCATTTCTTTTACTACTCGTTTTTTCCTTGTTGCGCCCTGCTTGCCTGCACTCTGCGCTGCTACGCCCTGAACATCCAGCCGCAAGGACGACGCAAACGCAACAACGAGCAACAACTCCACGCTGGTCACGAAGGTTGCCACTGGACGTCCTGCAACCGGCTGTCCTGTCTTGTCCGTCTGTCCGCCCGTCTGGTCGCCTGATCAGCCCGTTGCGGCTGTCGTTACTGGCTGGACCGACGTTACGATGGATAGATATCCAGACCGCTGCCTTTTGACTACAACAATGCCATGTCTATGACGTCGACGCTCTTTCACCGCATGGCCGCCCGTCGTTCTCTGGGGTGCATCCGGAACACTCGACATGCATCAAGTCACATCGACCTAAGTTTAAGCATAACACATGATGCTGGCGCCGACGGTGACGGCGACGTGGATCCAACGGGGGTCGCCTGCGATGCACATTAAGCCGCCATCCCGTCGACGATCACGGCTGTTTTGACCTCAACAACAACAGCAGCAACAGTCTACCGCGGAGGAGAAGGGAGGAGAAGGAGGAGGAGAGGGGGAAGGGAGGGGAAGGGGGCTACCGGAAAACAACTACCAAAGGACGGGACATGTCCATTCACTCTGATGGCCCACCGCAATTGGGGGAAAGGCCGAAGACGGGAGTCTTAGGATGAATGGCCCAGCAATAAAATGGTACGGCTGGAGGGCGCGTGACGCCCTGCAGCGTCCGGAGGTCAAAGACGAGGACGGCGACGACGGTCTTCTTTGCCGCATATGGTGAAGACCAAGAGGACATGCGAGAGATGATTTTGAAGTGACAAGGAAAAGAAAGGGAGCAAAGGGGGAAAAAAGACCCAAAAAAGAGAAAAGGACAAGGATTACAGATGGTGTTTTGGAGGCTGGGCCTGGTCTGGTAGCCATGGCGACCCCCGTTTCCATCGGCCCCTGAAAGATGATACAAGTTTGGGGCGGTTCAACAAACATTCTCGTTTCGACAGTGAGCTGGATGGCTACCACCCACGGATGAGGTGTCTGTGATGCTCGAGATGCCGCTGTGATGGCTGCCATGCCATGTCTAGCAGCCTGAGGCCCCCTTCCTGCCAGGCTTACCCCCCTGGATTGCGGTGTACTCCTGTCCAAAATCCGGGGAAAACCCTTGGAAGAACCACCCACTAAACTACACCCAATCCGAACGACTCCATGGAGCAAAATGGCCTCGTGCCACCCTCGGCTGTCCGATACAATGGGCACAAAAGGTTGACGACCCGGTTTTTATCAGCCCCAGAACCAATAAGGCGGCCCATATGCACGATGATCTGCAGCCTCAGCAATGTGATATCCATCGAGAATGATGATACCCAGACTGACCCTCCCCCGGCCCACGCTGGATCTGACATTGCACACACGACTGGCTAGCAATCTTCACTTCGATGGAGATGGATTTTGTTTTGCCTTCTTTTGGCCATTGCCGATCGTTCTTGCTCGTGAAACGTGGGTCATGGATGAGGAACTCGGGCCTGGCGTGGGAAGGGCATAAGAAGGGCTGCGTCTCCTGTCGATGAATTTGATACTTTTACAGCATCCTCAGAGAACCCCGGGAACCTTCACCTTAAATTGATTATATATATATATACACACACATAACTTATTCGATACTCTTGTTGTGTGTGTTATATATATACCGGCCAGCATGAAGTTTGGCTCTCTCCTCGGCCTGTCACTGGTTGGCCTCAGTGTTGCCTCCCCCGTTACCAACGTTTGGTGAGAACCCGCTCCCGTTTTTTTTTTTTTTTTTTGCCTCCCCCTGCCTCTCCTGAATCTTGAATTTCGTTTCTTGCCATCTCTACCTTTTTACCTATGGCTTCTGTTTTCGACTTATGCTGACGTTGAATAGGAAATCACCAAGAGCTGCTGATGATTTTATCCGCGGTGTTAACCTGGGAGGATGGCTGGTGTTGGAACCATGGATCACGCCCGGTATCTTTGAAGAAGGAGGCGACAGCGCAGTGGATGAATGGACGCTCAGCGAGGCTCTCGGTCAGCGTGCCCATGAGCGTCTCAAGCTGCATTGGAACACCTTCATGGAGCAGAAGGACTTTGATCGCATTAAAGGTGCAGGACTCACCCATGTCCGCATCCCAATCGGATATTGGGCCGTCGCTCCCATCGAGGGAGAGCCCTTCGTTCAGGGCCAGGTAGACATGTTGGATGCTGCCATCGACTGGGCCAGACACTCTGGTCTCAAGGTCAATGTTGACCTCCACGGCGGTACGTTCACGCTTACATAGTATCTCATGTTTTATATCACATACATTTTTATTTTTTAATATGCTGACTTTCTTAGCCCCCGGATCTCAAAACGGCTTCGATAACAGCGGCAGACTGGGCCCGGCCAACTGGCAAAAGGGCGACACTGTGGCACAAACCTACAAAGCCCTCGACGTTCTCATCCAGCGATATGCCAAGAAGGAGGGTGTTGTCGACGAAATCAACCTCATCAACGAGCCTTTCCCCCAGGCTGGCATCCAAGTCGAACCTCTCAAGGACTTCTACCGCCAGGGCGCCGCCAAGGTCAAGAGCGCCAACCCCAATGTCGCTGTTGTCATTTCCGATGCCTTCATGGGCCCATCCAAGTGGAACGGCTTCGACGTCGGGGCCAAGACCATCATCGACACCCACCACTACCAAGTCTTCTCTCCTCAGCTCGTCGCCATGGACATCAATCAGCACGTCAAGGCTGCATGCGACTTCGGCAACGATGAACTCGCCAAATCCTCCATCCCCGCTATTGTTGGTGAATGGTGCGGTGCCCTGACCGACTGCACCCAGTACCTCAACGGCCGCCATGAGGGAGCCCGATACGACGGCACCCACAAGGACTCAGACCCCAAGACTGCCGTCCCCAACGGCTGTGTCCGCAAGACCGGAGGTTCTGCTTCTCAGCTCACCGATGAAGAGAAGACTAATACCCGCCGCTACATCGAGGCTCAACTTGACTCCTTCTCCAAGGGCCACGGATGGTTCTGGTGGACATGGAAGACCGAGCGCGGTTCTCCTGGCTGGGACCTTAACGACTTGCTTTCGAACGGCCTTTTCCCGCAACCTCTTGATTCAAGGATGTTCCCTGGCCAGTGCAACTAGATGGGTAGGATAATGGCTGGCGCAGGACGGACGTCTTTTTACTTCCCTTCTTTTTTACACTTCATTAATTCATCATTAGTCATAGGTATAGGTTAGCATTGGATACTGGGATAATGTTTATATCCACTATCCCCTTTTTCTGTGTACAGTAAATTAAACTAATTAGTACAAGCAGATAGACAAGACAATTATATTGAACGATCAGTCAGTCAAACCAAGCGCAAGATGCCGATTCTGCTTAATAGATTCAAATGATACACTACAGCGTAAGACTGCCATGTATAACCAAGCAACGTAAGCAGTGTTCTTCCCTCTAGCTAATCGACGTTTATTCATTCTTTCTTTATCTGGGTATTCGTAAGCCGTAACTATAAATTCGATAGCAAAAACGGGGGAGAGAAGCAAAAAGAAAAGAAAAAGAAAAAGAAACAAGGCAGGTCAAGTCATCGTTGGAAAATATTGAGTGGCGGTGGACGACGATGGGCCGCGGGCGGTGGATACAACAGTTGCCTGTTTTTTTTTTTTTTTTTCAACTCCAACTCCAACCTCATCTACATGATCCCCAACTGCCCAAACCCATTAACAACCTCCCTATCAACATTAACCAGCCACTCGTCCCTGAACCGATCAGCTCCTCCGCAAACCTGCACCAAAGCCTGGAGATGCTGCCCCACATATTCCCTCAAATTGATCTTGTGGATTGCGTCTGAGGCGCTCCATGCGCGTCGACGCGTAGTCTCAGGGGTCTCGGATTCATGGTATTTCTCTCCCTGAGCCTCATTGGGGTCGAAAACAAGATAATCGCCGTGTCGGGCGTCGGTGGGGTTTACCTCAGGCCCTTCAGATAGGTCGGTGATCAAGTCTGTCCAGATTGTTAGGTAGGATTGTAGATTGTTCAGTAGGTATGTTGGCGCCGGAGATGAAGGCCCGTTCACCGTCAATAAATGCGTAAGAGCCATGGTATGCAGTTTCTTCTTGTTGACATCTCCAATATTGTCAAAGTGAGCGAACCATTCGCTTAATATCCAGGTGAATGTCTGCTCTTCGGAGGAGTTTCTGGCTGCCGATGTTACTGCTGATATACAATTGCGTGGGGAAGCGAGAGCAAGCCGTGCGAGGACTGAGAGGTGGTCGGTTTCAGCCACGCCGTAGATGGTGGCTTGCTTCCTGTTAGGCCCCGTTGTCTGGCGGGACTGGTATGCGCCATATAAGGCGGAGAGAAGCGTCTCCATGAAGCCAGTGCTTAGCATGGACTTGGCGATGGCGCCGTACACATTCTCATTGTTCTCTTCGGAGGCAGATTCGCCTGTACGTATGAGCAGCTCCGCAAGATGAGGGACTAGGCCGATTCGGGGAGTGACATCTGGATTGAGGAGAGTGTTGAAGATATCAAACAATCGGAAACGGACGTTTTCATCGAGGAATTCTCGGGGTGCGAGGAGGATGTATGATTCGGTGACTTCAAGAGCCTGTCGTACAACATCGCTCCCAATTTCAAAAATGGGAAATATAGATGGGAATAAGGCTAGAATTTCAGGAGATGGCGGATTTGGAGTTTCGGATAGCACGGCAGACCATAGATCTAGAGACTCCTCGAGGAGGTAGACGAGAGATTCCTAGATTCCAGTATTAGTGTTATCGTGATAGCTTGGGGAATAGGGCGGTTTGGAAACTTACTGAGCCAGGTTCAACCGATTTTTGGATAAGGGGTAGTATCATGGAGTGGTATCTAGTGGAGTTCTCTCTCATAGAGTGTATTAGGGATGACAGGAGTGTTAATATTGCCTGCTTCATCAAGTGTTCGTCACCAGATTGCTCCCAAAGCCCTGGTAGAAGGGATACAATTTGATCCGCAAAAGGGGTAATCTAGAATGAAAACTGGTAAGTATAATATCTACCATCAATATATCGATTTCCTGGACTTACGTTGCTTTCCATTTTTACCACTGCAACCCTTACAGTCTCAAGTAGTGCCATTTTTGTCTCACTAAGAGAGACCTCTTGAATAAGCTGCATTAGGTTTTGTAGTATAGACGTTGAGAACGGTTGGAATACTTCCGCAGAGAATTCGAATGGGTCCAGAACCTGTCGAAGCTTCCGACCAGCCGTTACACGAACGACTTGATCGTTCATGGGGTCACTCTTATCCAGAAGGTGTTGGAAGATACCGTATACGGATGCTTTGTCAATGTCACTTGGTTTCACTGGAACCCATTGTCCGAGTATGACAGAAATTCTTCGGCGAAGGATATTATAGCCTGGACCTTGGATTTGAATTTCTGGTACGAGTGTGGACACCAAGAAAGTGTTGAAGTCTAAGTGATTCTCCAGACATGCAGCTGCAAGGCCAACAGCGGAATAAAGAGAGTCCTTTAATAAGATATCTTTGTTCTGGGGATCTAGTGCATCGTCAGTTAGTTCACTTTTATAGCATACTATACCGTTATACGACTTACTAGCATAGGTATAGAACACATTAAGCAGCTTTGGTATGAGCAGCTCTTTGAAATTGATAACCAGATCAAGGAATAGCTTCTCGGCACATGACCGAATTGAAAACTCCCAGGCATCTGTGATCTCTTCTTCTTGCTTCTCCCACTCCTCAGGTTCTTCTTCCCATTCCCTGAGATCACTGGCTTTAAAGACAAAGAAGCGGGTGACAAGTAACTCCATGACTTGGACTACGAAGTCCTCGTTGAAGATCTCGGACTTCATCAAGCTAACGCATTGATTTTTCTCCTCCTTGGCCTGCTGGTTTTGGTATCTGAAAGTGTTCGTGGGATAGAATGCAATTTTTGCGCAAGCTCGAAGAAGCAGGAGGGCCTTGAGACCGAGTTTTTCCAAAAGGGGCTTCTCGTCGTCATCTGCATCACCATTTATCCCAACCTGAAGCTGAGAGAAGTCAGTTGAGCCGTACATTTTGCCTAGTTCAACCACCAACCCCCAGTAAGATTTAACCATATCAACAGCTTGTGGGAGCAGTCCAAAGGGCGCAGGATGGGTTCTGGCCATTTCTAAATGAAGCTTGGATAGCTGGATTATGTGCTTCCCAATCAACTTTTCGACTTCTGGGGCCAATGTAGATGACTGCCTCTGAATTAAGGAGTAGAAGTTTCCGAGATGGGTTAAGGATAGGGTCCAAAATCCCGAGATATCGGACTCTCTATTTGGGTTCTCAAAGCCAGCGACTATTAGTCGTCTGATGACCTTGAGGGACATGAGACTTTGCTCAACTGCCTCTAATGCACCACCTTCATCGTCCCCGCCGGACTCCAAGAATGTACCCCATTTTTGCACTTTATCGACGTATATGCTTGCAACAATATGGAGCAGCTCGGGGGCCGCAGATCGTAGTCCCCGTCGGGTTTTCTCTAATCGTCCGGTAGAGAGTTCCTTAATTACCTGGAGGAGGATCAAGAGAGTGCGGGAGAGCTGAACTGGATTGGCTCCGGGCCGAATGGACGCTCGAAGATGTTCTATTATTTCAGATATGGCTTCTGGCCTATATGTAGATTGTCAGACATGCTCTCCATGGAATACTAAAAAGGATAACCCACCATTCAAGAGGGAACTCTGCCCGCAATATCTTAGCCACAATCAGGGCATTCTGCAAGGCAAGTTGAGATGCAGGTTCAACAACTCCAGCTTCTATAGCTCTTCTCTTGATCTGATTTTTCTCATCTTGCTTGAGAGCACTACATCGGTTTCCCATATTAGCGCTTATTCCACCAAAAATTGAACAGCCTGTCACAACAGAGGCATACTTGTTTGCTGTCTTCCGCCAGTACCTGTCTATACCGTTCTTTAGCTGAATAATTGAGAGGTATCGAACTTCAAAGGGAGTGGAATAGTCGGTAAAGACATCCTATCAAAAAGTTAAGGAGAAGCTGTTAGCCATCCGTCATATGTCGGTCAGTATGAGCGGGGAGAACGAGATACCTGTAATAACGAGTGAAATCCGGGCTGTCTTCCCCATTCCTGAAGCTGTGCAGTTCCGCTCTGGCGCTGCTGAGGCAACGAAGAGCCCGCCGTCGTCAAGGCATGTATAACGTTTGGAAGGGTTAGTGGGTTAGCTTCCCCTGGTACCTCGATAGCTACTTGCATGATGCCACCAGATCGAAGCAGAAACGGCAATGAAGAGAGAAAGACTGATCAGGTCCTTGAAGAGAGCAAAACGCTCATAGCAAGATGTCTCTCCAGGATGGCTGAGCGGATGATGGTTCCTTTAATGTAGTGGGTAGTTAGGGAGCTGGCAGAGAGAGAGAGGGTCCGGTCTCTCTCTACTTTTTTTTGATAGTTAAATCAATATTGATCAACCCCACCACGTCGATAAAACTAAACTTTTAGTTAGGCATAAATAGCTTAGTTAACTAAATATTCAAAGCTAGAGCTAGAGAGGGCCTGACTATGCGGCTTTGTGGGGGTGAACTCAGCGCACCCAGGGCAGCAGAAGAGAGAGAAATAAGCGCCTATAGCAGAGCATTTTAATAGATAGTTATGGTCTTTGTCTAGTTAACTAGTTTATTAGTTAGCTAGAGAAGACTCCCTAGTTACTAGGTTAAATGGAAGCTTTGTGCATTCCTATATTACTTAGTAGACAAGCTCTCTCCATACTACAGCCACGAATATATATTCAGGGACAATGGACTGAATATCAAATATATCAATTATTGAAATCGACGAGAAAAAATTTGGTAGCAAAAATGCTGGACTCTTTGCTGTTCTTGCTAGGCCCCCGGCAGCGACCTATCACGTGACAGTTGAACCTCGGCTCAAAGAAAGCTGCCTGGACAAGAGGAGGAAAGACGAGAGAAAGGACGGACAACGACGTCGACCCTTTGACGGAGGAGATTCAGAGCTGGTTCAAGGGCATAGCCTGGCCGAAGATGCCCCCACGATGACTTCCGCAAACTTCGCTGCAGCACAAGAGCGTGTGTTGGAACGGCGCCGCCAACGCGAGCTCGAAGCTCGAAATCGGCTCGCAAACAGAACATCGCGACTCCCGGCCGCAGCCAGCAACCTCCCATACCCCCTATCCAGCCTGCCTACTCGCGGACTGGCGCTATGGGATATCCTTAGAGGCAGAGAAGGGACTAGACCGGCATTCCGGGTGGGACAGGTCGATGCAGAGTTGCTGGATGAAGAGCTTATAACCTTGCTCAAGGGGCAAGTCGGAGAAGGATTGAAAGACTTCGGTGTAAGGCATATCCTCAACTAGAAGAAGAGACAAGATAAGAATTTGGCTGATGTCGGTTGTTATAGCGCCATATACGGGACGACTGGAACCATGAGATTGACCTGGTGCTTCGTGCGATCCTTTTCAAGCTGTCGGTATGGGACCACAATGCCTCGTACGGCGCAGCTCTCCAAAACCTGAAATACACCGATAGCAGAAGTAAAGGGCCTGTACATTCAGATCCAACCAAGCTTCAAAAGTCCTTATATGGACTGCTGACGGTTGGTGGACGTTATGCGTGGGATAAATGGGAAAGCTGGATAATCCACCAAGGGGGAGGCTATGATGAAGTGCGTTTCGTTCTACATCCCAACATCCAACAAAAAATGGTAAAGGCATAGCTAACCAGCGCTTTTGTTGATAGCCACAATCTTCCAACACGCGAGCGCTGTCAAAACTCACCTCTCTCCTCTCCACCGCTCACTCGATCGCCGCCTTTGCATCCTTCCTCATTTTCCTGGTTAACGGCCGATACAGAACACTAGTCGACCGGCTGCTATACATGCGCTTAACCCCGCCGTCGATGCAGGTTAGTCGAGAAGTATCATTCGAGTATCTTAACCGACAGCTCGTCTGGCATGCATTTACAGAGTTCCTCTTGTTTTTGTTGCCCCTTGTTGGAATCGGGCGCTGGCGCCGATGGGTGTCTCGAGCCTGGAGAAAGACCATGTCCTCGCTCCGAGCCACTGGCGATGAGAACAAGGAGAAGAACCAGGGTGAACTTGGTTTCTTGCCTGAGAGGACATGTCCTATATGTTACCAGGCGCAGAACCCTACCACCATCTCGGAGAGCGACGTTATGGGCCCCGGAGCTGCGTCAGGCGGTATCATTGGCTCAGCCCAGACAGATACCACGAACCCCTATGAAACCGTGCCATGTCAGTGTTTATACTGCTTCACATGCATTGCCCAGAAGCTCGAGGGGGAGGAAGGAGAGGCATGGACCTGTCTCCGGTGCGGTGAGCTTGTGAAGCAGTGCAAGCCGTGGAATGGGGATGTGTTGGAAGAGCCTCAACCGCAACCACAGTCCACTGCTGCTGCGGCTACTGCTGTCCGGAAGAACGTCGAGTTTGCTGTGACCGACAGCCATATTGAATCCTCAGACACCGTGGATGACAGTGATTCGGCGGCTCGTGTTGATATTGATGACGGAATGAATGAGACCAGCCCATGGGCGGCTGTCGGCGTTGAAGAAACCGATGATACTAGCGTTCACACCGACCTGGACTTCAGGAAGTAGTATATCTGCCTCTTTCAGTCCGTTCTTTTTCCTTCTTTTCTTCTTCTTTTCTTCTTCTTTTACTATATATACACTCTGTATTATTTATTTTTTGCAATATTGATACCACAAGCTTTTGTCAAGACTCTTCTCGTTCCATACTGGCCCGGATTGCCGAAAAGAGGTACCTAGTCATATGTACTCCGTATTGCAGGCAGCTATGGGGGTTTCTAATATATCTAACAACAAACACGCCCTTGCAAGAAATGCAGCTCCGCATCCTCATATTAGATCTAATATATTATTAATTATCTGTCCAATGGGCGTCTCAGCGCGGCCTGCAACGGCCAGCATCTCTCTCCGTGACTCCGAAGCTGGCTTGATTGTTACCAAAACTCGCATGCTATGAAAGTACCGACACCGAGAGACGACGCCCTAGGCGCACACCAACTCCATCGAAGCACAGCCTCGGCCACGAATCAGGAGCTGGTTTTACCCGGGGCTTAAGTCTTTCTGGCAAGGACTCGCAGCTGTGCGACGATTTGATCTACAAGAACCAAGGGTTGAGCCGGCCAGGCTGCAAGATTTTCCGCTGGCAGGACAAGATCTAGACAAGCCGCCCTCCGCAGTGAAGGAGAGCCGAACGTCATCCTGGGACGTCATATCGAAGGCTATCCAGCTTTTAACCTTGGTTAGGAGGCAAGTCCCTTGTCCAATTAAGCAAAGCTTCAGACGCAGCTCGGTCGACCGGCCGGGTGTTTATAAGTGAAAGGCTGGTACCAGGTGTTCAGCCTACTGCTCCTTCGCAAAAGATCCCCCCTACGGCTCTGCAAGACATCCAAAGTACCTATACTACTATAGGACTCGACATAAACGATCTGCCTTCAAGGATTAAATTCTCGTCTCGGCTTTTGCAACCATGCCTGACGTTTCAAACTGTGTGCGGACGGCGCAGGTGATCGGGCTCACCACATCTGGGCTGATGGCTGGTAAGAACTGATCCAACAGAACCAGAGGCAAAGCACAGCAAATAGTTGTAGCCAATGCTATAACAATCAGCTGAGTGCTGGAAGGGTTGGGGCAAAAAAGGAAAGAGAAGAAGAAGAAGAAGAAAAATAGATAGCTGACAAGAACCCAGGCTCGATTCTCACCTACTCGACCGCGCTGATACCTACCATCACTCTTCCAGCTGGCAGCGGCCCGGCCAGCTACGACTCCAACCACAAACCTGGCAGTCCCATCTCACACATCGCCACTCAATGGCGCCATGCCTATAACATTGGCAAGAGCTCGATGCCCTTCTGTGCGATTGGGGCGGGCACTGCCTACGCCTATCTCTCCTATGTCTTCCGTCACGAAACGACTCTCCGCCCTGCCGACACGCGGACCTCGAACTGGTACCTGCTCGCCTCCGGACTGGTGATGTCCATAATCCCATACACGCTGCTGGTGATGAACCCGACAAACAAGAGCCTGCTTTCTCGCGCCGAGGTGGCGGATGCAGAGTCGATGACCGGTGTGTCCAAGGCAAAGGAGGCTGCCTCCAAGGCCAGCGGCGACTCCAAGGCGACCAGGGAAGATGTCGAGGTCTTGAATTGGCTCAAGGGCTGGGCTGAGTTGAACGTTGTCAGGTCCCTGTTCCCCCTGGCGGGAACGCTTGCTGCACTGTATGCAACGCTCTACTAGGCCTCCTTTCCTTCCCGTCCCCCGTCCTTCTCCCATGCCGTGTCATGCCATGTACGGGGGATCAAGGACATCATAAATCATAATAATATCAGGCATGGCATCTCTATCGCTCAGCGTTGGTTTTTCGGGGCCTGCCTTTTGTGTCTCTTGCCTGCCTGTCCGCCAGTCTGTCTTGTATGTATGTAACTATATAACCAATATAGCCAGGGCCCTCGGTCTGCAGGAAGCCTTATTTTTCTTTTTGTCCTCTCTCCGATCCCTCTGCCTCTGCCTCTGCGAAACAGGGACTGCAGAGTCGCACCGAGTCTTAATATTGCTCTCTTTTCTTCTTCCTCTTCCTCTTCTTCTTCTGCTGCTGCTGCTGCTGTCCTTCCTTTTTTTTTTTGCTTTGCTTCTGCTAGTTTTCCCGGATGACGTCGTGCATGGTCATGTGATGGCAATAGATGGACCTGGAGAGAAATAACTAATAACTAACAATAATTTAACGCCGTCGCTTTTTTCTCTCGTCGAGCAACCTTTTTCAACGTCGAAGGCTCAGCACCGCGAGTTAGCATGAGGGACAGCGAGTTGAAACAAGATGGAGGAACCAAGGATGAGGCTGTAGAGGTCGTACGATCACATCTGGCACTACCATCGCCCGCCACGGCTACTGAAAGCCCCCCTTACACTGCCACAGAGACGCGGGAAAACTCCGAGTCGCTGCGGTCTTTGCCCCCTCGCTCGCGATCTCTTCTCGTCTGCTTCTTCATCGAAAGTATATGTACGGACTAAAATCTAAACTGCATGCACACAGCAGCAGCGCAAGGCCAATAATCCCTGCCCACGGACAGCCAGCATATTAGGTAAAAGCAAGTCGAATAAAGCGAGAGGTAAAGGGGGAAGACCACAGCAGTGTCGAGACACGCCAATTGGCCGCTTGCTGGTGTCTCGCTGACTTGTCCGACCCTCAGGCGTCGTTGCGGGACCAGGGTCGAGCCGGTGTGAGTGTGAGTGAGTTCATGCCCGCGAGTGTGCCGGGGACTGAGTGCGAGCGAGTAAGGAAGTGTGATTGACCTTGAGTTGCGGGAGAGATAGAAAGCGGGAGAACGACAGGAGAGCCACAGCGAGAAAGAGAGTGTGTACAGGGTCCGTTTTTGTGTGCGCACGAAGGCGGCTTGGTTGGTTTGCCTGTTTTGCCTGCTGGGCTTTCTTTTCGAGCGAGCTTGCGCAGGATAAAAAGCAAAGAAAAGAACTGCAGCAAGGGCTCGCAACTTGCTTCTGTGGCCGTTTCTGACCTTTAGTTATCCTGAACACCGCACTCGATTATTTTTTTTTATTATATCTTCCTTGCCCTGGTTGGTTGTCTGGCAGTCGGCCGTTGCTGCTGTTGCGTCTTGATATACATATATATATCTATATATACATATATATTTAGGCCGGCGGGAGAAGCGAGAGGAGAAAAAAGGGAGTAGCCGGTTGGATACCTGATATATCTTATATATATTTCGTATATCCCGCCGCCAGCTAACAACCTCCGCTTATAAAGAGGCCGTTTCGAGTTTAACATCCCTGTCCCCCTTTTCTTTTCCTTATATAAGAAAGAGA